CAAAATGTTCATATTTAGTGGTGATTCTGATGAGCATAAAAACCCCATAGGTGATCAATGGACTTTGACCTGAATGTCATCAAATTGGAAGGCTTCGTCAAACTCAATCTAACCATAACCTTACTCAGCAACATTATAACCCAATGCAAGACCAAAACAAAAAGAATTATAAATACAAACCACAAAAAAATAGTTTTTGAACGAAGGAGCCTGAGCCGACTGATGGATTCGCATTTGGTGGCAATTGCAAGAACATCTGGAACCTTATTTCCAAGGTTAAACCAAGAATATCAGTCGAAACAATTGAAAATTACATTGACAAAGTGAGTGTTAAAAAGTGTGAGCCAAAAGTTCCTGAATCAAATCCCAAAACGGTTATTTATTAATTTATTTATTTACGGGAAAACCCCATTAACTGTTAAAATACAATTTAAGAAAAAATATAAAGAATAAAGCATAAGTTAGGTCCTATATTATAACTATTACTACATAAATAATAAATATTATTTAACTACAAAAATTAATACATACTACACAATAATATAAAACAAATTAAGTACAGCCAAAAATCATCTTTTAAGTCAGTAGGTATTAGTAAAAGTATGTAGGTATTATGAAAAATATCTTGATCTTGATAATGAGTAGTTAACATATGGAAACATATAAAATAGGAATACGTACAACAAATAATACACAAACTAGAATTGACCCTGCTATACAAAAAATATCACATATTCTTCAGGTACGTTTTTAATTGACCTAGGGTCATATCAAATATATTAATATTTAAGTTATTAATTATTGACATATATCTGTCAACAGGATTATTTTCACCATATGTTGTTCGGTGAAAAGGTATGAGAAATGTTGGGTATTGCCGCAGCCCCCTAGTGGGTACATTAAAACTAACTGAAGAAAGGAGACTTGGACAGTCAATTAACCCATGTACCAATTTGTATATAAATGCTACACCAAAACTATCTCTACGAAGGCCCAGAGGACTCAATGACAATTGTTGTTCTATTGCTCTATAGTCGTGGTCAGCCATAGCAAAGCCATTTTTAAACGCACACACTCTAAGAAATTTATGCTGCACCCTCTCCAAAGAATCCATATGAATCTGAAAATATGGTGACCACCCTACAGAGCAATATTCCAATGTTGACCTTACCAAGGAGCAGTAGACAACCCTGGTAGCCTCCACAGAGAAGCATTGACAGTTTCTCACGACGAAACCCAACATCTTCGAAGCCCTTACTGCAACCGAATTTATGTGATCAATAAAAGATAATTTTTCGTCTAAAATAACACACAAATCCTTCACTTTAGAGACTGATTGTTAATAAAGTTACTTTCCTTGAAAAACTAATATAGCAACATTTATCCACATTCAGAGATAACTTATTTTTTACACACCACACGGACAAGCGATCCAGATCCTCCTGCAGAAGCAACTGGTCCACAATGCTCTCCACTGTTTCCCAAAATTTTAAATCATCTGCAAATTTTGCACACTCACTGTTTATAAAACCATCAGCTATATCATTAACAAAAATATCAAAGAGAAGAGGAGAACAGTGGCCGCCCTGCGGCACACCCGATGTAACAGAGATTGACTCAGAAAAATAACAACCTACTTTAGCATGTTGGATACGATCAGTCAGTGAGCTCTGGATCCACATAACAAAATGAGAATGAAAACCAATCTTGGTTAACTTCTGCAAGAGTATCCGGTGTCCACCCTATCGAAGTAAAGTCTGTATATATATAGAGTCTACTTGTTTCTGCCTCTCCATATGATGCAAAATGCTTGTCTGGTAACCTACCAAGTTTGTCAATGTGGATTTATTTTGACAAAAGCCATGCTGCTCCACAGAAATTAAACCTTTACACATCTAGCTCAGTTGCTTGCTAACAAGACAGTCAAAGAGCTTTCATATTGCGGATGGAATACAAACACTACGATAATTTTCAATATTTTCTCTTTGACTACTTTTAAAAAATAAGAACCACATAGCTTTTTTTCCATTCATTTGGGAACACAGCACTAATCAAGGATCTATTAAAAAGGATATACAATGGTAAAACTATAGTGCAAATACACTCTTTCAAAAGGAAATTAGGCACCCCGTCCGGCCCTGATGTAAGTTTATTGGGAAGACTGCATATAAAATCGAAAATATCCAGACTTACTTATTTCTGAGCACTTAATATTGCTACTTACGTTATTATCCAATGTTAAATCAGGTAGTACTGGAGAGTTCTGGCTAGCTACATATACAGTCTGAAAAATTTTCCCAAATAAATTGGCCACATCCTGCCCATTTGAAGCCCTCTCCCTTTCATAAAAGAGTGAGTTTGGAAGACAATAAGAGGAACGCTTATCATTGATGAACTTCCAAAATGATCTTGGATCAATTTTCAGTCTCTTATCAGTGGATGGAATCGGGGGGTAGACTCCGGCGCTGACCTACTTTCCCACTGACCTACTTTCACCAGACGGCCCCGTCCGCCCACCCGCCACTTTCCTACCATTCGTCCACCACCAGTCGTCTGCCGCGAATTTCCTACTGCCGCAGACCGCCCGCCCCATAAAATTCCGCCACCACAAATGACCACCACTGAAACAACTTTTTTTTTACCTCAGTCACCTCTGAATTAAGCACCGCCTTTAGTGGCTCCTTTGTGGTTAAGTTTAAAATTTTAAAAATTTCTCGGCTACTGGGTCACCACTGAAACAACTTTTTCGACCACCACTTTTAGTTATGGGGTTTTATCAGGCCTGGTACACCATGCAAGCCTAACCCATTTTTTTTTTTTTTTCAGAGAGGAAGTATTTTTTTTTTTCCTCCGACTTTTGTAGAGGATATTTAATGTCTTGAAATCAGGTAAGGTAGATGTCCTAGCTATCGGCCAGGTCCTACTTATCGGCCACTTTACCAGATTTTATTCAATAATAAGATTTTTAGAAGCCATAAACAAAATATTATTACTCCACCGAAATATTGCATATTCTGGCAACATAGCTGGTATCACCTGCACCTGCTATACCTACGCTAATGTTTTTAATTCGCTTGTGATTACTGACGTGTCAACAGCTGTGTAGTGAACAAGAGCTTCCCTTAAGAAAGTAAGTAAGAAACCATCAATCAAATCAAATGTGTTTAATGATACTTTGTTCACATGTACTTACATTAAAAATTTGTTTTGCAATATATTTAGGTTTAGTACACCATATTAAGCTGAAATATCTAGTTTTTGTGAAGAAAATAATTTATTTTCTGGGTGGTCGATAACTAGGACATTGAAAAATAGTCAAGTTCCAGTTATCGTCCGCCTGGCCGATGATAGGGACTCTGAGTAACATTTTTCATTGAATAAATAAATTAATATAACAATTAAACTACTTGAATATAAATTCGCCAACTATTTCCGAAAAGTACGAAGTTTACCCTACCCAGTTATCGGCCTACCATTTTTCTTCAAATAAGCTGTCTAAATATTTTTTAAAGAACTAGGACGATAACAGGGACAAAGGGTGGCCGATAAAATGGACATTGTGACCGATATTAGGTTTCTTATGATAAACCATAAAGTCCCAATCATCGGCTATACTGAAAGTATTAAGTAACTTGTTCAAAATTTGTTTCTCTTGTTTGTATTTTTTTTTAAGCATTTCTAAAATCGATAAAAATTAACCATTAAACAGGGTTAATTATTTTTCCTTTCAGGTTTTGAAAATTAAAATGGCAAAAAGACTCCAATACTCGGAAGATGCCATGAAGCGAGCAATAGAGGCTGTTAATAGTGGAGTGTCCATCCGAAAAGCCAGTAAGACATTTGGGGTTCCAAAATCAACATTGACAGATAAGAAAGCTGGAAAAACACCTATAGAGAGAAAGATGGGGCCTACCACGATTCTCAGCGCCGAAGAAGAAGATCACTTAGTGTTGTGGATTTTAAGCTCGGCAAAAGCTGGTTTTCCAATAACCAAGACACAATTGGCGGATAGCGCTCAGCTACTGGTGCGTGAACTGAAACGAGAAAATCCCTTTCCAAATGATCGACCAAGCCGACATTGGTATGAGAACTTTTTAAAACGGCATCCTCAAATAACTAAGAGAGTACCCCAAAATCTTTCTGGTTTGAGAGCTGATGTCAGTGAAATGAAAATTCGCCGATGGTTCGAAGAAGTTGCAGCCTATTTGAAGGATCATAATCTAAATATCGAAGAGCCGAATAGAATCTATAACTGTGATGAGACGGCGATGTCTTTATGTCCAAAAGGAGAAAAAGTACTTACAGAAAAGGGTGAAAAAACTGTATATACTGTTTCAAATAATGACGAGAAAGAATCTTTAACTACATTATTTATGTGCAATGCAGCAGGTCAGTTACTACCTCCGCTAATAATGTATTCCTATAAACGGGTTCCAAAGGCCATAGTTGACAAAGTACCTAAGACTTGGGGAGTAGGAAAATCTGATAGTGGTTGGATGACTGGGCAATCGTTTTTTGAGTACATTGCAAACGTATTTTTTCCTTGACTTAAAACAAACAAGATAAAGATGCCAATTCTTTTATTCGTAGATGGTCATCGATCACATCTCACGATGCAATTAAGCGACTTTTGTTCAAGGAACGAAATTGTTTTAATTAGTTTATATCCAAACTCTACGCATATACTCCAGCCCTTGGACGTGGCAGTATTTCATCCCCTCAAAATGGCATGGAAGAAGACAGTTGCGCAGTGGCGAATGGAAAATGGTTCCAAACTTTCGAGGGAATTATTTGCCCCCGTTTTAGATCGATTACTCAATCAGCTTAGAGATCGTTTTCCGATCATAATACAAAATGGTTTTAGGACTTGTGGACTTGCTCCGTTCAATCTTAACAATATTAAGTTTGATAAATTTTTCAAAACTTCTACTGCTGAAAATAGTAAACCCAAAGAAAATGTCGAAACTATTCCAAAATCGTTTTTGGCTTTCTTCGAAAAGCATAACAAAGATAAAATGGCGGTATTCAAATCTTCAGCTGACACATGGATGGGAGATGTAGAAGATACAAATCTATTTTACTTTTGGAAATTTTTAAATGAAAACCAAAAACATACTGATGATTTTGAGGATACCGATTTACAGTTAACAATTCAGGAAGAACAAATTCAGGAGTCTGATTCAAATAATCAAGAAAGACAAACATACCCAGAATACAATCAAAATTCCCAGCTAGTAGAAATGGGCCATCAAGATGACGTGATAGAAATAATAACCCTAGAGCAGCCAGAGCCAGACAGAGAAGCAGAAATAGCTTTATTTACAGAGATTGCTAAAGCCAAAGAAGTTCTAGGTTTGACAGATGAAAATTATAAAGTAAATTCGTCACTTTTAAACCTGATCGACGACAATGATTTGAATCTGACCGCTGAAGATTTAGATTTAGGCATATTTTCAAGTACCTCCTTATTAAAAAACAATTCTCCAGATACTTTCTCGAGCCTATGTGATGAAAAGGAAAATAATCAGTCCAGCCAGAAAGCACAGACATTGAACAAGATTGATAATCCCACAAGTTCAATCCAAGAAAATCGAGAAAAGGCAATTGAACCTAGATCGCAAGAGGCTGATAAAATCTTGGAAAATGGAAATAATAACTATGATATGAATCTGACTGCTGAAGATTTAGATTTAGACATAATTTCAAGCTCTCCCTTCTTAGAAAACAATTCTCCTCCAACTGCAATATTGAGCCTAGGTAATGAAAAGGAAAATAATCAATCCAGCCAGGAAGCACAGCCAACAAACGAGATTGATAATCCAGCAAGTTCAATCCAGAAAAATCGAGAAGACGCAATTGAACCTAGATCGCAAGAGACTGATAAAACCTTGGAACATGAAAATAATTACATATCGGCTGCTGAAACATTAGAAAAGTCACCAGAGATCACTAAGGAAAACATGCCGAATGTCCCAACTCCATTTAAAAAGGTCTTATTTTGGAAAACGCCACCTGAAGAGAAAAAAAAGTTAACTAAGAAACCTAAAGAAAAAATACCAGCAGTTGTTGTATCAGAAGATTGGCAACAATACGAAATTGGAAAAAAAAGAAAAATGTTTGGAAGAGAAAGAGAAACGCAAAAAAGCTCGACTGGAGAAAGAACAACAAAAAAGGATACTAAAAGAACAAAATGCAATGGGAAGAAGGAAAAAAGGGAAAGCAACTAAAATCACAGCAGTTTCATCCGACAGTGATACTGAAACTGAAAAAAAGGTTGTTTCAACTGATTTTGAGATAGATGTAGGGGATTACGTTATTGTAAAGTATAATGAGGCTCATTTCCCAGGATGCGTCACTAATATACTATGCGAGAAACAAAGCAAGGAGTATACAGTTAAAGCAATGGAGTCGAGCGGTCAAAACTGGAGATGGCCTGCCAAAGAAGATGTTCTCAATTACCAAAGAAAAGATGTGATAATTAAAATAGAAAAACCAAAAATTATAAATAAGAGAGGTTTTTATGCAGTTCCTGAATTAAAAGATTTTTAATTTATGTTTAAGTATATACTTTCAGTTGTATACTCAGTGTCATACTAGTATTTTCTGTTCAAAATAAAATTACAAAAAATATCATAAATTGTTTCATGATGATTGTTTAAGTATTAATCTTGCTATAACCCATGGCCCATAACTAGGACACAGTTAGGCCGATAATCCGGACATTACATTTTTAGGGTGTCCGATTATTGGTACTTATGGTATTAACTTCATATTTAATTGTTGACTTATGTCATAATCTATGTTCAAATGCAATTTTTACAATCCTCTGAAGTTGGACTTTGCCCTTAAGTGGCGGATAACCGGTACTACTACCTTAAATTTTAGCAATAGTTCGATTTTTTTGTGCAGTGAATTTGTGAAATATTTGATAGAAAAAAAAAAATGTCGAAAAGAGTTATCTGTTTTACTTCTAAAAAATGTGCCATGTCATCATTAGACAAAACAATCACTTCGATGTATGGTGATGAAGAACTAGTTTTTAGTGAAAATAAGGATAACCAGCTAACACAAAGACAGAATATCCTAGTGCCAATAGATAAAAATAACACACGTGAGGACGATGAGGATTCAGAAGACGAAGCAATTTCAATGGACCAACTGGACGAGCAAAGATGTGGTGAAAAAGCAGATGTCATGCGAAAAGAGATAAATGCAAGTGATACTGTTTTACCAAACTATCTTATGAAACAGATATGTGCTGTTCAGTCATATGTTGTCATCGAATCAATTTATGGAGGATTGTACAGTATATGCTTCACTTGCCATTATCAGCATGGTCTGGAAGTCCCTATGGGAAAGCATACTTTCGTCAACACCCACTACCAAAAAGCGATCTCCTGTTGTGAAGAAAATTACTTATTTTGCGCATTATGCAAAAGAAACCTCTTTGTTAACATGCCCATAGAGGTTTGCATAGTTTGCAATAAACCAGAAGCTGAACAAATATCCAGCCACCTATTGGAGAAAAAAAACTTTGAGAAGCCTTAAATATATTTTTATTTTTTATTGTATAATTTTTCTCTATCTATCTATCTATTCCATAACAATAAAAGAAAAAGGTGAAAAAAGTGTTTGTTTCTTACATTAATTTTTTATATTAGAAATATATAAATTAATAAATTAAACAAATACAAAGTATACTCAAATGGTCACAGTATTACCAATGGTAAATTAACCAATTTGCCTAGCATTTTACAAAAATGTTAGAGATTTCATATAGATCATAGAACAAAATGTTGTGGTGGGGCTATAGATAAAAAAGCCCACAAGTAGGTATTGATTTTATTCAAGACTCGGAAAAAAAAGACAGTAAACAAAAACAAAATCTATTTTTTTTTCCTAATCAAATAAAGATCATATAAAAAAAAAACTTTGTACAAAGGGATGAAACTACCATGATTTCTCCAATAATTGTATGTACAAATCTTGTTTTCGATGTAGGTTGAAGTAACAAATTTAAATAAACCTTTTAAACTTTAAAACCCAGTTGTCAACTGCTCTTTAAAAATGGTCAAGATTTCACAAAAAAAAAAAAACATCCTGAAAAAAAGTACCGTGATATACTACCCACGAATGAGTGCAACATTGTATATAGTTTTAAATTTTAAAAACTCGATTGTAAATCTCTCTGAAACCACGAATTAAGGCCACATTGTATGGACTTTTAAATTTTCAAAAACACAATTGGACATTTCGCGAGAAAGTGGATAAGATATTTACCCATAAATTTTGAAAAGGTATTGCAGAAAAAAAACGGTACCTACCTTAACGTAAATGGGTTAAGATGTAAGATTTATGTTGAACCAGGCCGAAAGATTACCGAGTGTGGGTATGGAGCGGGGTTCGAAAATATGTGAACGCCCTTTTTTTGGTCTTATAAAATCTTCTGAAAATTTCAGTTCAGATACAACTTGTTTGATCTTCGGCTAAGTTCTTTTTTTTTGTATCTTGTTTTTTTGTTTGATACCTTTGTGCAAATGTGTGATCCGGTAAGTCATTTTTTCAATGATGATTCACTTTTAAATTATTTAAACAATGCTGAGAATACTACTTTTAATGACTTGAATTTTAATAACGTTTGTCAAGAACATGGGTTTGAAGAGTGTAAGTTGTTGCATAGATAATAATTTTTCAGATTTTTCCAACAATTCTCTTCCAGATTGTTTTAATTTTTCACATTCTTCTGACGTTGAGATTTCATATGGAAAAAAAGATGTAAATGTTGATATTCTCCAAAATCTAATTCCCCAACCTTCAACATCCCAAGCTATACGCAATTCAACAATCAATACTTTTGATTTAATAGAAGAATCTAGCGACTCTTCTCTTTCTGATAAAACTATTTTTTCAAATTTAGAACTTAATGATGAGATTTAACACCAAACAGAAGATCTGAAAAATAATCAGGATCTTTCAAAATTTATTCATTTGAAGAATAAAACTAATTTTTCAAGAACTGACTTGAGGCAGTGTAGCTCAGCAATGAAGTCAATTATTTTCAATCAAATAAATTTGGAAAAAAATATGAAAGAAAATTTTTGTATTCAAACTTTATCAGAGATAAAAAATAATATAGACAGACAGAACAATCTGTTAGCAAATTTGTGTACCTATTTCTTTGAAAAATACATTTATGTAAATCATTCTGTAAATAAAATTAGTTTAGTAACCATGGCTTTTGTATTCACACATTGCTTGAAAGAGTTTAAGCAGAAAAGATACATTAAAAAACACATTTTGAAAACGTGTGTAAAACCTTGTGATCCCTCAAAAGTAGAAGATTTACAATTTATGCTGATTTTGAATGTTATTTAAAAAATGTTGATGATGGTAATGTTGATCCTACAAACTCATACACAAAAAAAGTTGCCGAACATGTACCATATTCTTTTGGCTATTATTTTGATGATAATATTTCATCTCTTAAGATTTATCGCGGGACTAACTGTGCTGAAAAATTTATAGAATTGATTGAGAAAGATGTTGTAAGTATCTATCATAAATATTTGAAGAACAAAGTTGACATGAAGAGGTTAACAAGTAACCAGCAAAAAGAGTACGACAGTGCAAATATATGTCATATTTGTGAAAAACCATTTTCAGAGGGTAATTTTTTTAAGTGTAGGGATCACTGCCATATTACAGGAGAATATAGAGGTAGTGCGCATGTCATATGCAATCTTTTCTATCAGATTCCTAGACAAATTCCAGTTGTATTGCACTGTCTCAAAAATTATGATAGTCACCTATTTATTAAATCTCTAGGAAAAAACAAAGAAAATATTCATGTAATTGCTCAAAATAAAGAAAAATACATTTCATTTAGCAAAGAAATTGTAGTTGATTACCATGCAGAACACAAAATAGTGCTTAGATTAGTTTTATAGACTCTTTTCAATTTTTACCAGAGTCCTTGAACTCACTATCCAAGACTCTGCAAGATTCACAATGTCTAGAAATCAAAAAACATTTCACAGAAAGAAACAAATTCCAATTAATTAGACAAAAAGGTGTGTATCCATATTCATATATAGATTCATATGAAAAATTGAAAAAAGTATCCCTACCACCCATAGATAAATTTTATAATAACATAATTGATGAAAATATATCCGCTGAGGATTATGAACGCGCTGTGTCAGTGTGGAAGTTATTCAACTGTTCTACTTTGGGTGAATATTCTGACATCTATCTAAAATCAAATGTTTTGTTGTTGGCGGATATTTTTGAAAATTATAGAACACTATGTCTTGAAACATATAAACTGGACCCTGTTAACTATGTAAGTAGTCCATCAATGTGTTGGGATGCTATGATGAAATTGAGCAATGTCGAATTAGAGCCGATAACAGATCCAGATATGCTTCATTTTTTTAAAAAAGGCATTCGAGGTGAAGTCGGTACTTGCACATCCCGCAAATCTGAAGCAAATAATCCATTCCTTGACACTTTTAATCAAAATATTCCAACAACATATATTGCCTATCTAGATGCCACCAATTTATATGGTTATGCTATGAGTCAATACCTGCCACAAAAAGACTTTTCCTGGGTTTCTGATGATGAAATAAAATCAATTGAAATTTCAAAACTCTCAGACAATGCAGATATTGACTATGTGTTTGAGGTAGGTGGTAGACGCTTTTTACTCATTGGGCGTCGACAGGTGAGATACCACCATGCCAGAATTGAGTAGCGCTAAGTGGTATCACCACGTTCCGCTACTGCGCTGGCAGTCCGGTTCCAACAATGAGTAACAGATAGCATGATGGCACCTCCAGGATCAAAATATTCCGGAGGTAAAATACCCGACCACTCGGATCTCCGGGCGTCGAGTGATCCTGGGGGTCCTTCATGCAAAGATATAAAGAGAAGATCAAAAACTCAACTCAGAATTGATTTTAGCAATATAAGAGGAATAAGTACAAATATGAACTCAGTTCACCAACATCTTGAAGAACAAAGACCTGACATCCTTGTTCTCACTGAAACTAAAATCAGTTCTGCAACACCTATTGTGAACTATCTTTATCCCGGCTATGACCTACACCACCGATTTCGACATAATTTTAGGATCTGTGTGTACATTAAAAATGACCTTTCATGTCATCGAGAGGAGAAGCTAGAACCAGCGAACCTTGATATCATATGGCTAAAATTCACCTCAAAGTCATCGACCAAGTTTATCTGCTGCCTCTACCGACCGCCATCTAACACCGATTACCAAAACTTTTTCGCGACATTATCCGAAAGCTGTGATAGTATACAGTCAAACTATCCACAGGCGGAAATTGTCTTTTTAGGCGATTTCAACGTCCACAATATACCCTGGCTGAAACACCACAACAAAACAGATAACGAAGGCAGAGAAGCAGAAGCTTTTGCCATAAGTTGTGGTCTAACGCAGCTTGTCGATGAACCTACCCGTATCTCAGAAAGGGGCGAATTTGCAGCGCTTTTAGACTTGTTCCTAACCACAAATCCTGACTCGTACCCAATTCAAGTAGATGCTCCACTTGGTTCGTCCGATCATAAACTTATAATAACAAAGTGCGAAATGCTCATCCCACCAAGCCTACAACCACTTCCTCGTAAAATGTGGCACTATAAATCGGCAAAATGGAATGACCTAAAACAGTATTACCTGGATTTTCCATGGCAAGAGGTTTGCTGTAATGAAATAACACAAGTAATCTTATCTGGAATGGACGCATAAATCCCACATACAACTAAACGTAGAGCTAATGCAAAACCTTGGTTCAACAGCCAGTGTCAAACGGCTGTACAGAAAAAACACAGAGCATATAACCTTTGGAAACGACAACAAACCGCTCAAAACCACACAGAATTTATAGAAGCCAGAAATAGTTGCAAAATTACTATTGACTCCGCTAAAGAAACATACAATCAAAGAATAAAAAACAGGTTGCTGAATTGTCCAAGTAGTTCTAGGTCTTTTTGGTCTCTTGGAAAAGCTGTTGGATCAAACTTCACCAAGTCATCCATACCACCACTTACAGATAAAAATGATCACTTAGCCACAACATCAGAGGAAAAAGCCAATATGCTTGCCCAAATGTTTTCCTCCAACTCCAACCTAACAGTGCCAAACGGAAAAACTCCACCGTTCATTGAAAGGGTTTCCCATAGTATGCCAGAGGTACCCTTTTGTCACAGAGAAATACGAAAATCCCTAAAAAAGCTGGATACAAACAAAGCAATGGGTCCGAATGGCATTCCCGCAATAGTACTCAAAAATTGCGCCAACGAACTCACCCCAACTTTCGCAAAATTATTCAATTTGTCTTACAGGCAAGGAGTATATCCATCATCATAGAAGTCTGCCGCAGTACAACCCATTCCAAAGAAAGGAAAAAAGACAGATCCGTTAAACTATAGACCAATTGCTCTACTTCCGGTGATATCAAAAGTAATGGAAAGAGTTGTGAACAATCACCTTACCAAGTACTTGGAAAAGTACAAAATTATCAACGATAAGCAATACGGATTTCGAAAATATAGGTCAACTGGCGATTTACTTACATACGTCACTCACTTATGGCATAAAACGATTGAGTTGCGGGGTGAAACAAGAACAATTGCCTTAGATATATCTAAAGCATTCGACAAAGTTTGGCATGAAAATCTGCTCAACAAGCTCAAAGCAATGGGATTATCGCCGAAACTTTGCACTTGATTTGAAAGTTACCTAAAGGACAGATCCATTTATGTTGCACTGGATGGCCAGAACTCCAACTCTTACCAAATAAATGCTGGTGTGCCACAGGGAGCAATCCTTTCGCCAACTCTTTTCCTGATTTACATAAATGACCTCATAGATAAAACAGTAAATCCACTTTATTGCTTTGCAGACGATGGCAATGTAGTCTCCTCACTCATACCACCCACAGGTCTTTCCGCACGTGAATTCCATCATCTTAGACTAACTCAAATATCGCAGATAAATAACGACCTGGAGATAATAGAAGACTGGGGTAACAAAAACCTTGCACAGTTCAACGCGCAGAAAACCCAAGCAGCTCTGTTTTCAAAAAAGACCAGCACCGGTGAGCCAAACATCATGCTATCTGGAAGTGCTGTCACCTTACAGAGTCAGTTGAACATCTTGGGGGTTACTGCAGAGACCAACATGTCTTGGCACAGTCACGTGGCAGATATTGCTAAAAGGGCCTCCCAAAAGCTGGGGGTGCTATATCGTACAAGACATCTGTACACACCAAGCCAATTGCTGACACTCTACAAAGCCCAGATTCGATCAACTATGGAGTACTGCTCACATACACAGCATCGCTGTGGCATAAACTCCCTGCGACGGTTTTCCCTGCAGGTTACAACTTGAACCGTTTCAAGACCAACATACACCGACATTTCCGCGCACTTGCCGCTTCTCGAGCGTGATAGGACATTTCCTTGCGAGTGCGCATATCCGTAAAAAAAAAGGTTGACCTTGAGTACCCTAAAAATCTTCACGATAAGCATAACGATTTACCTCTTTGTCCCGAACAAATGACACCTCCAATATCAAAATATCCTAAACTTATTCCTAATTTAAATAATAAGTATAACTATGTTATACATTACCGTAATTTAAAACAATGTTTGGAACTTGGACTTAAAATTTTGAAAGTTCACAGAGGAGTAAAATTTTCTCAATCGCCCTGGTTGAAATCATACATTGATTTAAATACAAAGTTACGAAACGCTGCAAAAAACAAATTTCACAAAAATTCTTATAAACTCGCATATATGGAAAAACTATGGAAAATGTTGAGAAACGAGTCGATATTAAGTTGGTGACACAGTGGGAACGATCGGGTAAAAAGTTATGTGCTGAAAGGTTGATTGGCAAACCACAATTTAAAGACTTGAAAATTTTCTCAGAAAATTTAGTAGCAATTCAACTTCAAAAAATATGCATAACCTACGACAAGCCTATTTACGTGGGAATGTGTGTATTAGATATTTCAAAAACTGTAATGTATGATTTTTACTATGGGCATTTAAAAAAAAATATACGATAACAATATTTCCTTGTTATATACTGACACGGATAGCTTGATATTGGAGATTCAGACCGATAACTTTTACGAAGATATGAAACAAAGTTTGGTAAAGTTTGATACATCCAATTATTCCACACCTAATATGCATAACATGCCTATTTCTGACTCAGTAGTTGGTTAAAGATGAATATTGTGGGATTCCCATTGAAAGCTTTTATGGAACCGGAAGTAAGGCCTATTGCGTAAAAACTAAAAATAGCTTAGATAAAAAGACAAAAGGCATATCCAAATCGACTATAAAAAAACAATTAGATCTATCCCTTTATAAAAATGTAGTTGAAAAGAATGATAAGATTTATGTTACAATGTATGTTTTTAAATCTGATATGCATAATATATATACAAATTTAATAAGTAAAATTGCATTGAGCAGCCATGATGATAAACGATATCTACTTTCAAGTACTACAACAACGTTGGCGTGGGGCCACCGAGATATTTCCGCAATTGAGAGTATGGTAAATACACTGAAAGCACTACTTATGAAGAATGAAGGTGAAACAAAAAATAAAAAGCCTCGCTTAACGCCCCCCGTCAGCTTTTGAATATCTATAAATGAAATATTTGTCTTTTCTTTTATTAAACATTTGTACCATGTGCGCAGAAGACGATAACATGGTGATTATGAAAGATTCAGTTCCCGAAGATTACTTTACCTATAAAAGTTTCGAACAACAATTATTAAGTTTCAAAAATTGGAAAGGCAATTTAACCCCTGTGCAATTGGTAAAGGCTGGATTTTATTATACTAAATTCGCGGTGGACGAATGGTAGGAAAGTGGCGGGTGGGCGGGCGGGGCCGTCTGGTGAAAGTAGGTCAGCGCCAGCGCAGGGGTCTACCCCCTATTCCATCTACTTCCGATTTAACAAAATTCCCAAAAACCGGAACAACTGGGAATTTTCACCCACGAATAGTGCAATCTTTCACAGAAATGGCTAAATTTTCAACCGCTATTACTGAGTGTGCAACATCAACAATAAATTGGGCAAAGATGACCAACTCCGATGAAATGAGCAAGGGAAAGCAAACGTGGGACCCGGAATACATGAGAAGCACCACTTGCACCAAAGCATTCAAAAATTTCACCAGACTCATAAAAAGGAATTTGAAAATTGTTGCTTGAATGTATTACTAGTCGGTATTCGATGTATGAACTAAGTGATATTGTGGTCCGTGAAAAAACAAGGAAAGTTGAAACACAATCAAAATATATCATACTGTTGAAAACAAGGACAACTAACTATTGCAAAAATAAAATATTACATAGTCACCAAAAAAATCGTAGGAAAAGAACAGAGCAACAAGTGGTTGAATAATTACGCAAGAAGCTTTTGTTCATACATCAAACATGCTGAAAGGGGAAAGAAAGATAGGAGAGCAATTACTTCAGGATCAATCCCCATGAGACTGCATTTAAAATTAATCGAAGAATTCCATCTAAAACTGTCAAGAGCGCTACCAGGATCAACTATATCAATAGGAGGTGATGAAAAGAAGAGAAAAATATCAAACGAACTTGATCAATCCAATATTGACACACAGGCAGCGGATCCAGTGCCAATACAAGCTACGGAAGATGCCACAAAGTGGAATGAGTGCCTCAACCCCCTGTTGTTCACCCTTGTGCATCAAACATTTTTTGATGACGCCATCCGAAAAAGGATGTCAATACCATTTTGCAGTGAGGAAAAAGAAACATTTGAAAAAGTATGCAAAATGGGTTTCTTCTATATGCTCATAAGAAGGATACACTTGGGAATCGGGTACATCTTGAGCAATGAGAGTTTCTATACAAGGATGACTTGGCATGAAACAAAAGAAAAATGCTTAAGTGAGCACAAGGTTTCGCAAAATAAAAAGCAAAATAGACAATGAAGATTACGTTACCGCTTCTCCAGGCTTCCTGATGGGAATGCTGAATGCCGCATCTACTACCATTGGACTAATACCCATCTTGGGGATACAATTACCACTAACAAACATTAGATGCCTCCGATCCAGCGACGATTCAATGACTGTTTTCACTGCTGCAAGCGATACTGATTTAGAAAAGTTGATAAGGTTCACTTATAGTCTCTATGGGGTGTTCGGTATAAACCCGAGTCAAGAAAAAAACCATATTATTTCCGTCCGGATATGGCGAGTATACTTCATGGTACCAAGATAACACATTTATAGGACAATGTGGGGTAGAGACCAGCTCATTAAAACCAGAAGGTATCAATGTCCAAGATGATCTTAACAGTGCAATATCCAACACTCTTAACTTGATGAGAACAATAAAGCTTATGAGTTTCAAGGGCAGATTGAGCAGAAAAGGGTCACAATTTAAATTAAATGATCGATCATTATTATTTTACAGAATAATATTTAATTCGGGATGACACTGGGTTGAAATCGCATTATTCTTACATTTATGATTTTCATTAAATTAACATACTAGTTGTTATAGTTTTTCATTAAACTTTCATTAAACATAATTAAGTGGAGAGTGTTGCTGTATTATTTCTTTTTTGTACTTAATATTTCAGATTTTAAATTGAGGTCTATTTCGAAGTTTCAAAACTTATAAATAAAAACTTCGTGGCGCCCTTAGTAAACACCTCTTACACACGACCATAAATGCTTTCCGATGAACAGCCAGTGGCGGCTCCTACAATAAAAATGTGGGGGTTGCAATACCAATTTCAGCCTTATCCGATAATGAACTACCACAGAATGGCTCTGCAATTAAATTTGGTTGGCAAGTTAGTGGTGGTGAAAGACGAAGCTAGCGCCCCATTGCATTGGAAGCTCGGAAGGATAATTGCAGTTCATCCAGGACATGATGGGCATGTGCGCGTTGTCAGTGTCCGAACCGTGAGTGGCATTGTGCGTCGCGCAGTTCAAAAAGTGTGCGTTCTTCCACTAGATCCCTAAATCATGACTACACCGGAAGTTGCTTCAAGTTCGAGGATAAGCATAAAGGTTATTTGTTTTTTCTTATTTCCAATGTTGAACTTTATTTCAGAAAATTATGTTTATTTTTTGGTTACTCTTCAGATTACCTTAATTAGTATTATTGTTTATTTTAATTATTTAGATTTAAGTATTATGTTTTTTTGAAAGGCTATAGGCTTTCAAGGCCGGCGGTTATGTTCAGGATTCACAGTTCATAACGGTTTAAATGTTTGAATTTAATTTGAATTTTTTTTTTTTTTTTTGTAAAATTTGGCAACCTTGCCCAAGAACTGAGATATGACGAGGATGTGAAGAGGGCAGAATGCAACAGCAAGCCGTCAGCCAGCCAGGCCATGTTGTATCGAAAATTGTAATAAAAGAAATACAGTCCATTTAGTTTAATCAAAGCTAGTGTTTTATTGTAAAACCTAGATCGTCAATAAGAGAAAACGCAGATATCAAGGGATATCAATTCAATTGGTAACTAACACGTTCAAAGTGGGAATAAACAATTTAAATTTGGTACTAATCAACTTCAAATTGGAATTATTGAATAAATTTTAAAGTTTTGCAAGTCAAACGGCAGTTACTTTTAAAACAAATATTAAATTAACAAAATGCCTTACAGTGAAGTACCTGATGCAGAAAATGATAAAAGGCAAAAAAGCTGGTTTTAATAACAATGGTGACTGAAGAGGATTGGCGAGGGGTAGGTACCCAAGAAGTTGTTAGAAGGAAACATGGGGGTCAAAGAACATAAGGTATAAATGACTGGATACATAGAGGAAAATGCTGTTATTACGTATTACGCTGAAATTAAAGAAAAATTTGAACAAAATCTCAATTTGATGAAATGTTTTCATTCGGGCCGTCGTAAGTTGGAATTGCTATCTGACCTCTGATAGCAGACTGCTACCAGAATCGGACATGGAAGCACCTCTGAATCTGAAGATGTTGGCCACGTGTGCTAGTGAAACGTCAGGATTCAGGAAGAAATTCCAACTAATCCAACTTAGGACGGCCATTGAGCCCGCGAAAGTCTCACAAACTTTATCAAAATCTCATTTCATTAGGTACTGTTCAAAGTCCCTTTTCCATAAATATGTATATTGATTTTTTTCACTAGCAATCTTTCATTTATATTAATACCCAATTCCCAATTTGAATTTGTTTCTTCCCAAATCAAATTTGATTAGTCGCAATTTGAAGTTGATTAGTACAAAATTAAATATGATTAGTTCCAATTTGATTTTGTTAATTCCCACTTTGATATTGTTAGTTCCCAATTTGAAGTTGCTTAGTCCCAATTTGAAGTTGAAAAGGTATAGTTGATTCGGGTAGTGATGAGCGATAAATCACGAACTGTGATTTAATCACTGATATCTAAAAATCACAGAGCACGACTTCTACCACAGTTATATAAAAAGCGTGACGTGATCACGACAACGTAGCAAATTAATATCTTGTTTTTAAAGAATAATTTCTTCTTTTTGTAATTACAATCTCTTCAAAATCCAAATTCCACCAGAAATTCCATAGTCGTCAGTTGGCGCCGCGATATTTGGTAGATTTAAGCTGCCAAATATCTCGACGCCCACCGCTAGTAGAAAATAGCATTTTTCTGCATCAGTTTCAGTTGTTCAAAAATATAGGGTGGTCCAAAAAAACCAGAATTTTGCTTTTGAGCTGTAACTTTTTTATTTGTTGTCCAATTTTCTTTTGTTTTAGCTTGTTTGAAAGAGAAATGAACAGACTAACGAATCAGGGTAAAACTTTTGACATTTGAAAAAATCCAAAATGGCGGACTCCTTCAAAAATTGCCTAGTTTTGGATACCACTGGAACTTTTTTGTGACACCCTGTATAAGTTTTTTTGATAAATTCTTAAAGTTTATCATTTTGCGAACATTTTAAGACCTCGACAGAAAGAATCGGTTGAAAATTAAGTGAAATATTGAATTTTTTATATTGACAGCAAAATCTAGGATATGCTATTTCAGCTAGAATTTTTTTTTTCTACTCGACATATTTTTTCTATTTCGGGCTTGTTCGAAAGATAAATGGATACGGTAAAGATTCGAAATGAAGATTGTGACTGGTTGAGAAAAAATTTAAGATTTCCCAGTTCCTTCAACATAGCCAATTTTGAAAAAGTTAACGATAAGTTTTTTAACAATACGATTAATATTTTTATTTATAAATTTTAAAAAATAAGGTAAACACATTTAAGGGGCAAGAGGCGATATGCCTGCATCATTCATATGTGGTTCAAGTTCTTGCAATAAAAATCTTACTAACTCCTTATTTAAACGAAAAATATCAATAAACCTTTCATTTGAGAGACTAAATCGATCATAAGGGAACACTCATCACGAGTTAACCGCATTTCTAACTTTCTTTCAATTTCTTCAAATAATACGATATTTACTGGCAACATTTTCCTCTAAATGAACGCTTAAAGACACAGTGATAAACTTAATCAATAATAATTACAGCAATTACAAATAATACAAAAAAAGAAAATTAGTTACGTGGAAGAGAAGCAGTGTCCCTAGAAAAATCATTACTAATAATGCTGTGGTATTTGGGTAGAGGAGAAATCTTTATTTCTATTTCCGAAAGATTTAATGTTACCGTTTCGACAGTTTATGATCTTCTGTTAACCAATTGATTCCAATTGTGGGAACACTTCCAGAGACACAAGACTTTAAAAACTGATTTTATACTTAAGGGTACGGACATGCCGAAGATACATGGATGAGCGCGGTGGAGGTCGCGGTCACGATCGCTACATCGATGTCAAGACAAACCTTTATTTTCTTATGAGACCGCACATACCAAGGATGCTTCACTAGTTCACCCTCGCCGCCTATCATCGCAGTTTACAGCGATGTCGATGGCAGAACAAAATATTTTGATTTTATATGGCGGTCGAGCTGTTGACCTGCATGTTCATTGGTGCTCTTTAAACCACATGACATTCTCGAGTGAGTGCGGAATGAGGAACGTGTTTATTTTTTAAGTTTGTTGTGGTATTTCGTTGTTCAAAGGTTGTGAGACGCTTGGAGTTTAGTTTGATTTATCTTCAATTTAAATACATGGACAATGAAAGATGAACTAATAGATTTGGTGTTTAGTGTTCCTGCTTTATGGGATAAGCGCCATAAACAGCACCACAATAGGCATGTTCTGGCAAGAGAGTGGAAGAAAATAGCAGCAAAAGTTAAAGTGACAGGTATGTATATTAAATAACATACAGAGTTTTCCATTTAAGAATAATGTAAACAATTTTCATAATTTTTAAAACTGATATATTGAACCTACAATTAGACTATTATTTAACTCAGTACAATGTTATATATTATCATCATGCTAAGAAACTATTACTATTGTAAATTCAAAGGATTGACGGCAAAAAACTCTGTAAATTTTTGCCTAATTAGTTTTGCTCTGTTAGTTGAAGCATTATGCGATCTAGACCGTTGTAAATTACATCTTTCTGGGATTGGAGGAAGGTCTGAAATATTTAAAAGATATGACTCTTTGTCAATGATGATGTTGTGTAGTATACAGATTGCTTTAATAATACAATCGGCAGTTTCTTCGTGTGTTTCAATAACACAACTCAAAATTCGCCATTTCGCAAATAATATTCCAAATGCACACTCTACACATTTGCGAGCGCGAGATAATCGCTTATTGAAATTTTCTTGTGAGGGGTTCAACATTTGTCCAGAATAGGGTTTCATTAAGTTTTCTTTTAGGGGATAAGCTTCATCAGCAATAAAAACATGAGGTAGTTTATGGTTAGAATTAGGTAATTTTGTTTCCTCTGGGATTCCTAATTTATTTTCTTCCAACAATTTGGAAAGTCTTGAAGCCTGGAAGGTTCCACCGTCACTCTGCTTTCCGTAGCCACCAACGTCAATAGAAATAAATCGATAGTGGTCATCAACTAGCCCTTGTAAAACTATGGAGAAAAAATGTTTGTAGTTAAAAAACATAGAACCTGAATGAGAAGGACACTTTATTCGAACGTGTTTGCCATCTAATGATCCAATGCAGTTTGGAAAATGCCAAAGTCGATTATATTCTTCAGATATCCGTAAAAAATCGGCCGTTGTGGGCTGTTTCATGTGAAGGGGCTGGAACACTTCCCATAAAGCTGCACATACTTCCTTAATAATTTTTCCAACTGTAGAGGATCCCATCCTAAACGAGAAGGCCAATGATCTGAAGCTGCATCCGGTCGCAAGATATCTGAAACAGTATAATATATTAAAACAAAGAAAAACTTTACAAAGCAAGAATAATTAGTATAGGGTAAAGTCGGGTATATTGTACCAGTTGGTAAATTGTACCACCTCAATATTTATTAAATGGTAAGCTTCTAGCGCCATCCAGTTAGTTCGTTCGATGCCTCTTGGCGCCAAAACAATAAATAATCAACAGCTGCAGGCTTCGGTCTCCCTCAAAAGAGTGAATTTGTGTTTATTTAAATAACGTTTTCACGCAGTAAGTATTATAGGATCTTAGATAAGCTTTTTGGTCAAAATGATATGTATTTGGTAGTTGGGATGGCATTTTTCGTGATTATCGGTTATTTTTCAAGATTTTAGACGAGTAAATCTTATCCTAACCTCATTTTTTCCAAAGAAATAAAACAATTTGTGCCAATCATGTCGGTTCGGTAATTTGTACCACCACATGGTTGGTAAAATTGTACCGGTACAATTTACCAAACTCATGTTTCATTTTTCAGTCATGCCTCGTAAGGGTATCAAATACTGCCAGTGGTCAGAGGAGGATATGAAAACAGCAATAAGGAAGTATAAAACTGGGAACTTTGGACTAAATGAGATATGTAAACGATACAAAATTCCGAAGCCGACTTTTAAGAGGCACCTACTGGGTACAAATTTGAAGGCAAAAGAAGGAACTAAATCGTTGGGGAGGTTAACTGTATTCAGCGCAGAAATCGAGAAGGATCTAGAAAATCAAATTCTGAAAATGGAGGAATGCTTCTATGGCCTTACTATCAAAGACATAAGAAAAGCGGCCTTCCAGTTTGCGGAAAAAAATGCCTTGCCCCATAAATTTAGCAAAGAAAAGGGTATGGCCGGTAAGGCATGGTTTTATAGTTTTATGAAAAGACATCCAAAACTATCTTTGAGGCAACCAGAATCAACATCACTGGCGAGGTGTAAAGGCTTTAACAGGCAGAATGTCAATCACTTTTACGATATTCTTGAGAATTTGGTTGATAAATATAACATAGATGCGACAAGAATTTTTAATGTAGATGAATCCGGGTTCTCCACAGTTCAGAAGAAGAGCCAGAAAATAATTTCTAAAAAAGGAAAAAAGAACGTTGGAACAGTGGCCAGCGGTGAACGAGGGGTTAATACCACTTTGGTGGTTTGCACTAGTGCAGCAGGACACTATGTAGCGCCTATGATAATTTTTAAAAGAAAGAGAATGATGGCCGAACTTGCAGAAGGTGCTCCACCAGGTTGCTTAGTGCAAGTTTCCGACACAGGATATATTAACACTGAGTTATTCGTCGTGTGGTTACGTAAATTTATTGAGGTAGTGCGACCCATGCCCACGGACGAACATAAAGTAATTTTAGTTCTGGATGGTCACACAACGCACTCTAAGAATCTGGAGGCAATAAACTTGGCTCGCGAACACGGCGTCATTCTTCTACAATTACCAGGACATACCACACATCGCCTCCAACCATTAGACGTTGCAATATTCAAGCCAATGGAGGTTTATTACAATCAGGCAGTTGAAAGGTGGATGCGAGAGCATACGGGTTTAGGAGTTACACAACATCAAGTCTCCAAACTGCTAGGAGAGGCATATGGAAAGGCTGCTACGATTGGTTTTGCAGTGAATGGCTTTTCTAAATGCGGTATATGGCCTGTAAATAGACATGTTTTTACTGATGCTGATTTTGCTGGAAGTGATGCTTTACTCACACCCCAGTTACCACCAGAAGTTGAAAATAACCACATCGAAGAGGCTGAACATGATTCTGATGATTCTGATGATATTCCCCTCTCCAAATTAATTTCGGAAGAGAGACCTCTAAATAATTCCTCAAGAAAAATCAGTTGCTTGCCAGGACCTAGCGGATCGGTTGATGAACAAGAGCCTGAAAGCGCCCAACGACAAGAGCCTGAACGAACCCAACATGCTACAGTGGTTGCAGCCACGCAAAGTTCTCTGAGTACTTCTTTCGAAGAGCTTATTTGCTTGCCAGGACCTAGCGGATTGGAAAAAAAACGACGGGTACCGAAAAACGCACAACAAGCAGCAGTGCTTACAACCACGCCATATAAAGAAGAGTTAGAAAACAGAAAGATCATCGTGGACAATAAGGCAAAGTCTGCAGTGAAGAGAGCAATTGGATTAGACTCGCCTAAGAAATTGAAGGGTCAAACCAAAGTCAAAAAAATTAAAAATTCTACTCCCCTAGTTGAAGTGACTAACGCTGTCATAGAGGCAAATGCAGATGACTGGTATTGCATCCTTTGCCAGGAATGCCTTCTGGAGGATATGGTCAGATGCACCCGATGCCAAAATTGGGTGCATGAAAGCTGCGCTTCATTTCCAAATCGACTGATCTATGTTTGTGATTTTTGCTTGGATTAAATACCTTAGTTCTTATTTAGCTATTCATAATATTTTGTTTTATTTATGTTCCACATTTGATTTTTTTGTGTGTTTAATTTAGATAAATATTCTTTATCTACTATAAGAATTATATTTTATTTAACTCATGTTTCATATTTGTAATTAAATTAAATTAATAAAAAGGTTGAGTCATCAGGATATTCTGTTTTTCTCTGCTGTTCCAGTGACACCAGAAATCTTATGGATTTTCCTATGGTACAATTTACCCAACCGCGTGGTACAATTTAGCGAACCGGTTGGGTAAATTGTACCGTTTGCACTTTTTTTTAAAAAAGCTTATTATTCTGAACTTCTGGTATTCACCTAAGTTTTTCATTATGCATTTTGATAGAAACATATGAAATAATCTTAGTTTAATATATTATTCAACTTGAATAAATCATTAGCGATTTATTGGGTAAAATATGTTAAGTGGTACAATTTACCCGACTTTACCCTACGTATGTTTTTTTCACGAAAATTAATTTTTCAAATAATTATGTATAGTAACTATTGTTGTCGTGAAAACCCCGAGTTTTAAGTTTATTTTTTGTTACAGAAGAAGAAGCACGAAAATGTTGGAAAAATGTGAGGCATGAATATGGAAAACAAATAAAGAAAATTCAGGGTCGGTCAGGAGATGGAGCAGAGAATGAAATAGTTTGCCAGTGGCCTTATTTTGAAAAATTACATTTCTTACGTGATCAGTTCACGCCTCGTTACTCATCTACAAATTTACTAGATGATACACAGGACACTGTGGAAAGCAATCCAGAAGATTCAAATCTAGAGGAATCTGATACTGACGCTGAACAATCTACCTCCACCTCAATAACAAATGTGCTGAGCCCTAGTTCCGAATTACAAGATGTGGTTGCAACTACATCATCTTCAAGTCGTGCTACTTCAGGTTCAAAATACTCTGTTACCCAAACGGGTTATAAAAGGCGAATAACCCCACAAATAGAAATTGGGAGACAGCTAGTTGACATTGAAAAAGAAAAACTAGCCTTAAGGACAAATAAAATGTCCCAGGATCCCAATGATGATGATATATTGTTTTTCAATTTCCTTCTTCCTTATGTGAAAAAATTGACGCCTAGAGATAAATTAAAATTTCGAATGGATATGCAGAACTCTTTATTTGAATTCCTGTATCCTTCAAAACAGCAGACGCTGGCCTGTTTAGTACCTGCTGCCAGTGCTGCCACCCAGATAGAACATGGCCCGCATGTTCAACCTGGTCCTTCTCGGTGTGAACCAGTTTGGAGTAAGCAGACTTTGCTGCCGTATGAATCGAGATACGAATTTCCCTCATCCATATCCACAAATCAGACGTCAGCAGACTTGGACTCTTTAAGCAACTTGTTTCGATTAAATTAAATAACAATTTAAAATGTGAATTAAAATTAAAAATTTAAAATGTGGTTACGCTTACCTTATTGTCACTACTAGTTTTTCTTCAGCTAAAATCGGATTTGTATGATAGTTGTTATAATTGCAATGTTCAATTTTCGTTTTTATGTTGTCATAAATATACTGGAATGTATCTAGACCCATTCTCATGTAAGCATGGAATCTGTCAGAATGGTCTCGAAGCTCTTTAAACAAGTGATGGTATTCTCCTAGATATTGCCTTTTCTGGTTTATCGGATGAGCACTAAACTCGCGATTTGAAGAATTACATATAATCCACCACTTTCCACCTGCAGATATACCATCACTGTCTTAACTGCTGTTGCTTCTATACATAGTTAACTGTTTAATAATAAAACAGCAAATTTCTTCCAACTACGTGTGTCTTCTTTGAAACCTCAAAGAACACTGAAAGCCGAAAGCTTTGACTTTGACTGAAAGGAAAGCATCTTTGGCATGTTTTGCCCAGCATCGATGTAAACCTCGACCGCGACCTCCACCGCGCTCATCCATGTATCTTCGGCATGTCCGTACCTTTTACTTATAATTTTAGGTGCGATCAGGGTAATTGATGGTTGCCATATACTAATAAAAGCAGCATGGTAATCAAAATCGAAAAATTTTTCATTCAATAAACTTGCGAGTACTCCGAGCGCGCTCTGTGCGCTTCTTTACGTTTTTGTTGACGCTCGGGGCGTGCTCGATTTCGTTCGTTTTGAAAAAGAGCGAGTATGTAAAGCGTGCTCCATGTGCCTCTAGCTTAAAGGTGGTGCACTGCGAGTTTTTTCGTTTGCACATGCGCTCAACTCACTCTCAAGTGTCAGGTCATTAGCTGTTTGGTTTTTGTTTTCTTTGCTTGTGACTCCAATTTCCAAAGTTAAAAAATATCTTTTATTAAAATTTAAAATTAAAATCCAAACATCACTGCATGTACATTATGTTCACAGGCGAAGAATTAGCCACCTGTGGTGAGTGTGGCATTGAAGGGCCCCTAGACTGGGTGCAAAAACATTTTTTGGAACATTTTGAAAAAGAAAACAATAGTCCCAATGAATTAGAAGGTATGTGAAAATGTTTAATTATTTTTGTTATTTTGTTATGAGTGGCGAGTTAAAAAGGTAAAAGAATTGATAAGCCAAACTTGCACTTGCACATATTAGTATATCATTAATACTCGCATTAATAGCATCATTGTTTTAGGTTCAACAAATCCTGAAAATGATGTAGAAAATCCTTTGTCACCCTTGCCATCTGGAAATGACTCGGAGGCAGATGCAAAATTGTGGATTGACAGTTCAACTGTTTTACTGATTCGATTGGTGGAAAAAAACTATTCTGCATTTGATGGTACAATGAAAAAAATTATTTGGAAAAAAATTGCTTCAGAATTGTCAAAAATTGCCAATAAAAATTTTACACCAGAGCAAGTAGATACAAAGTGGAAAGGTCTCAAGAGAACCTACAAGAAAATCAAGGACCATAATTCAGAAACTGGAAGAAACAGGAAAACCTGGCAGTTCTTTGATATTATGGACGCATTCGTTAACAAACAACCGGAAATAGAAGCACCGGCAACATGCAGCTCTGAATCTGGTCTGCAGATAAATCCAAAAAATGGTGGGTATTCAATTTGAATTGACTACCTACATCATTTACCTTATATTCTTTTAGAAGCTGTGACTCCTACCACCTCACGAGATACTGATAATAAAAAACGAAAACTTGAAAATTCTTCTGAGAGGCGGCATAAAGAAAAGATCAATAGAATGGATAGGTTTTTGGATCTTTACCAGCTTTCGGTAGAATATCAGATAGGAAAGAAGTTAAATGATAATAATCCAAAAGACTAAAAAGATTAGCACTAAGCAGAGATCTTTGAATATAAAAATATTTATTATTTTTTAGGAGAAAAGGAGATATTTAATTTTCAGTTCTTTTTGTCGCAATAATGTTCTGGGTGTCTGGTTTTAATTTGGCATGTAAGGTTTATTATGCCTGGTTTCTTAAACTCCAGTTTCCTCTGACCTGAGAGTTACTTAGTACAATTTTAATGAGCTAACTCTCAGATCAGGTGTAACTCGTGATTATAAAACCAGGCATTAAAATGAAAGGTTAAAAAGTTATAGGGTTGTTTTGAAACTACATTTTTCGTGAAAGTAATAATTGTCAAATACCTGAGCCTGAGCATTTGGAAGCTAATAAAAAAATTCCATTTGTTGGGTGTTTTTATATTATGTTTTAATTATAAAACATAAAAGTTAATTTGTTAATGGTCATTTCCACCAACGCAAATTTAAGTTTACTTAACGTTAAGTGCTTCTTTTCTTGTCAGAAATTATAATATGAGCGGAACTTAACGTTAAGTAAACTTAAATTTGCGTTGGTGGAAACGGTCTTAAGAAACTCTTGTAAGATTCCCTTTAAAAACTATTTTTTATACAAATCATATTAAACCCTGTAGATTCAACCTCAAATTGTAACCACACCTAGTTTACCAAAGAATTCAAATGTTTTAGTTTTAGCATAGGTTGTTATAAATAAAAAGATAATAAGTAAAAATAACTCTTTTATTAGTTATTTTATCTCAAAAATAAGTAATTGGCAATATTGTTCCTCTTCTCAACACCCATTCGGTTATACAGTCTTGGAACAATGTTTCCTGGCCGCATCAACATTTCTTCTTGAATTATTTCATTTAGATTAATTTCAAGATCATCATCTGTATCTCTGCAAATATTATGTAAAATGCAGCACACCATTATTATTTGGGGAACTATCTCAACCCTTGTAGCTTCCATTAATTTTAGTCTTCGAAACCTTCCTTTTAATAGAGCGAAGGTGTGTTCAATAGATATTCTGGCTTTTGAAAACAAATGGTTATAGTTAACCTGAATATTTGTCAAATACCCATTATCTTTAAAAGGTATCAGTAAATTATTTTTTAAAGGGTAGGCCGAATCCCCAATAAAGTGCCTATCTTCCTGAATTGCCCCATTGTCTAGCATATGACCAAAATCTGACCGTCGGAAAACACGTGCATCATGCATTGAACCAACTTCACCACAGTAGCAATGTATGAATTTTTTTTTCCAATTACATACACCCTGCAGTATAACTGAATGGTAACCTTTACGGTTGACATAAGACGCTGGGTTTTGCTTCGGAGCTTTTATAGGTATATGAGATCCATCAATTATTCCAACAATTCCTAAAAGACAAAGATACCGTTCAATCAATAAATCATATTGCATGACTGGTCTGATTACCTGGAAAGCCAACTTTTTCCCTAAAAAAATTTGCAGTATCGTCAAAATCTTGCACTTTGAGGGCTATAATCTTTTGATTTTAATTTAAAATAAGTAAATCACGACATATTTTATTTAGACAATCTCAAGCAGTTGATTTGCTGACTCCAAATCTATCGGCAACACATCTAAAAAATTATAAGCAGGATAATTACTAGTGTCTGTCACTACTATATGTTTTGTGGATGTAGTACCTACATAGGCATAATGTGAGGCTAAATGTATATTAATTTGCAAATTTCAATATACTTACCTAAAACTTTCGATGTTTGCCAAATACCACAATGCAATTAACATTTGCTTTTCTAATGTTAATTCAGGATTTCCAGATATTCTCATTTGGGGTCTATCCACAACTGAGTGAAGTTTTTCCATCAGTATTTCATAAGTTGTTGGTGTTAATCTAAAATGCTGCTTAAACTGTTGGAAATTGTACCTTGGAACAGTTTCTTCGGCATAACATTTTATTTTCTCTAATTTATTTACTTCATCATTTTCATCATCACTATCAAATAAAAATAGTTCCGCTACAAAACGAATCTCCAAATTATTCATCTTCGAAAATGTCTAAGGCCTAAGGTCCAATCGTTGAAATGGGTCTAATTTATAATAAGATATTATTTCTATAAAAAAAAATGTGACTTTAACCTATAAATGTTGTGTCTTGTTGTTTATGATTAGCGCCAGATGGGTTGGACATGCTCTGTTCACTCCGTCGCGTTCGTTTTCGAAACCGTGCTCCGAGCTCACCTTTTACACTCCGTTCATTCCTCTACTCACTCCGTGGATCGTCAACTCGAACGCACCTAATATGTACAGCATCAAAGGTTTTAACAAACATTTTTATGGGATTTCCTGGGGCTGCAAATAATACAAGAGTTAGTAATTCTAAGTATTTTAAATAGGTATTTCTTTTTCGATGAAGACAGTTTTTTAATGGCTCCCATAAGTAACAAAATATTTCCAATTTTTAAAGGAAAAGTAATGTAAATTAATCCTTTCATTATATTCATCTAACATTCTTCATATAATTGTTTTCCCATGTTATGAGAAACATTTTTCTAAATTGTTTATTCAATTCATTATTCTGCATTTCAAGTTTTTAAAAATTCTACGTTATACAAAAAGATTAATTAACATGGTTTAAAGATATTTTTTAGATAGTTCGGGACTCTGCATATATTATGTTAAATTGGCTGATGAAGCCTTATGAAGAATCCAAGAGGACTTCTAGAAAAGACAAAACCCACAATTTTAAATTGAGCCAGACAAGAGTGGTTATTGAGCATACTTTTGCATTTTTGAAAGGACGATGGAGAATTTTAATGTATATAAATGTAAAAAGTATTGAACGAGCAATACGAATTATAACTGTACTGTTGTATACTACACAATTTTGTCCTAGTCCATAATGATTTATTTGATATGGAAGCTGAGGATAATAATGATGGGTTTTTATTGGGAGATCAATACTATGAAGATGCCAAATTCTTGCAAAATAAAAGAGGGACAAAATACGAGATAAGATTTGTTGAAAAAGCTCTATGTATATTATAAGAAATAAATAATGCATCAATTGAAAATATTCTTTTATTTCATACTGTGTCTAAACAGTGCGGTAGCTCGCCGAGCTTGGGTCGAGTTCCAGAAGAAAATCAAAGACTGTGTCGACTTTTTAACTAATTTAATATTCTCCGGTACATAAAAAAAAGTTGAATCTACGTAAATAAATCGGGCGGGCGATAGCAACTGAGCAGCGCACCTTCCTCTTGGTTCACCCTTGCCCGACTGACCTCGGCTGTTGCGCCGTTCCTTTGGATACCTATACCGCCTGGCTCGATGCCCTGTTGCCAACACCACCACCATATACGTATTGTTTTTCCACGATACAAAAGTAAATAATAAAAGGTTCTAATAATACGTGGAACCACCACATGACCCCCCAATTCAATCTAATGACCTACGTCAATGGATTTAATTTAACATAATGATAAATTCTTCTCGACATCCTTAATCTGATAACAACAGAGCTCAGTGTCAAAACAAACAAAAAGAAACTAAAAATGAGTACATCCCAAGAAAAATAATAATATTAATAATAAACGAATATATACCCTAAAATATGGCAACACTATTCAATTTGTGGGGGTCTTTTATATGACTTAAGATTAATAACATTTTGTTTAGAAACCTCGATGCCATCAGAATCCCTAAGGACATAGGAATTTGGTCCGGCCTGCCTCGCGACATAAAAAGGGCCAGCATAAAGTAGGAAAAACTTTTTGATAGTACGGTCATCAGCAGACGATTGAGTGTGGCACCTAACCAAGACCTCATCACCTTCCCTAAAAATAGTCGGATTCACCCCAGAATTGTGTTTTATCGCTCGCCGTTCCGCTCGGGATCGGAGCCTATCTCGCGCCAATAAAATTATCTTTTCCCCCCCAATATCTGATTTTTGCGTATCCGGTGGAAACTTTATAAAGGTCTCAATCGGTTGACACGCTTTTTCCCCGAATTGCAAATGTTTAGGTGAAAAACCAGTTGCCTCATTGATCGCATTATTTAGGCACTCTTCCACGAAACTGGCCAGATACGCCCAACGTGTATGTTTATCGAAACAATAGGATCTTAATAACCGACCAATTTTCCTTATTATAACGTTCGGTCATATTACCCTCCGGGAAATAGACTGAAGTATATTTAATTAAAATTCCTGCCTGTGTTAGCTTCTCATTCCAATATTTCCCCCTGAACTGTGTCCCATTATCGCTTAATATGCAAGTAGGTTTTCCAACATCGGGAATGTAATCATTCAGAATTTTGTTAACAATAGCTCTCGCCGTAGCCCGTTTCAGTGCGTAAACCTTGACAAATTTGGTAAAAGCGTCAACCAGTACTAGCAGCTGCGTCGCACCACCTCTTGATGGTGGTAACGGGCCAATGAGATCTATACATACTAAATCCCCCGGTTTTTCCGGCAAAACTGAATGAAGCCATCCTTGACTTGTCTTCGATACTTTAGCCTTTTGGCACAGGTCGCAAGCTGCGACAATCTGCCCAATATGACGTTGCATTCTTGGCCAATAAAATCTATCTTTCATATGGTTATAAACCTTGGCCCTGCCAAAGTGACCCATTCCTAGGTGGTGTGCCATTACAAGATCATTGACTTGAGATTTAGGTACGCATAATTTGAAACCTTGATTCAAATGGTCTCCCCGTTTAAAAAGTAAACCCTCATATACTATAAACCAACTGTACAGCCTATATTGCTTTTCTGAAAACACAATAGCTTGTTTGGTGCAATTTTCCAAAAAATATATCTTCTCATAGATCCAGCAGTCTCCTAGCTGATCTTGTCGCATCGATTTGAAATTATTTTTTAAACCCTTATAGGTGTCTTTTAAAGTCATTACCATGATATGAATATTAGAGGATTTTTCAGGGCCTATTGCCAAATCTCTATGAGGGGGATTCCTAGACAAAGTGTCTGCAATTTTATTCTCTGTTCCCGGGCAATGTACAACTTCGAAGTTAAATTC